TTAAACACTTGTTGCTGTGTGTTTTGTTGGCTGAAAAAAACTTGTTTGATGTCTTCTGATATGTGATCTGTTGGTGGAAGTGTTTTTTTATGAAACTTCTTTAGATGCCTTTTAAGTTATTCTTTTGATGTCTTTTGGTGTTTTTGTTAGAAGTGTTTCTTGCAAATACAAATAACTAACCTAGCATCTATATATATCTAACCTAGCATATTCATAGAACTAACATAGCAACAAAGATAGAACTAACCTAGCAACAATAAAAAACTATCCCTGCAACTTGCTAGGACTAACCTTGCAAGTTCAGACAACTAAAGTAGCAACCAAAAACTACTAACGTAGCAACAACAGAAAACTAACATAACAACAACAGACAACTAACCTAGCAACAAAAGAAAACTAAACTAGCAACAAAGATATAACTAACCTTAGCAACATAAGACACTAAACTAGCAGAATTTAACTAAACTAGCAGATACATATAACTATCGTAGCAGCAGTATAAAACTAACCTAGAACTAACAGACAACTAACTAACATAGCACTAACAGAATACTAGCACAGCAACAACAAAATACTAACATAGCATTAACTGATACCTAACCTTGCAACAACTTAAAACTAACCTTGCAACCCCTTAGATCTAACATTGCAAAATCATAAAACTAACATTGCATCAAAAATCATATTCATCCATAAACAAAAAGGATAAATCTTAATTAAAAAAAGAAATGTTGAATTAATATTGCAACATTTAGTTTATTGAAAATGAATACTACATACAAGTAACGTTGCAGCATAACAAAACTAAACTTGCAGAGCAATGTAACTAACCTAGCAACAGCATAGTACTAACCTAGCACTACTAGACAAGTATATATTGCACCAACAAAAAGCTAACCTAGCAACATCACACAATTAACCTAGCAGCAACAGACAACTAACGTAGCATAATCGGACAGCTAACCTTGCAACAGCATAAAACTAGCATTGCAAAGCATAAAATTAACATTGCATCAAAAAATCATATTCATCCATACATAGACAAAAAGATAAAATATTAATTAAAAAGAGAAATTTTAATTCATCCATAATAATAATAATAATAAAAAGTTTGATTTCATCCAACACCAACCATTACAAAAACTTCAGACAACCATTATCAAACAACTTCAAAACACAAATTCATGACCATTACAACTTAATTTCCAACACTGTCATCACTACTTTCATCATCAGCCATGCCAGATCCGGCCGCAGTTCTGGTTTATTTCCTCCAACCATCAGTGCCAAAATGATAGACGATGAATGTGTTTGGACCTCGAAGTTGGAAACACATCATCTCAAGTCGCTGCACATTATTATCTCTGGCAAAATCGGCCCAACCATCTGTGAAAGCAATGCTGTCTTCAACACGGTCAATCACAACTCTCCATTTGAAGGCATCATCACTTTCATTGTTCTGCAGGGTGCATTGTAGCGGAACAAAATCTTCGATGACCCGGCGAATTGCACGCGGGAGATTCTAGAAAACATGAATGTTCATAATTAGCAATTGATGAAGTAGAAACAAATTCGTAAACATAAACAAGCAAGTAATATCAGAATTGTTAAACAAGTCGTTTACCATAGTGTTGCTACCGGGGTAGAGAATGTAAGTCACGAATCGGTCAATGTCCAGCAATCTAGGCATGCAGCCAGCCATTTCCAGCACATTATTACACCTTATTAAGCGATTCTGTTGACACCAACTGTCGTCAAAGTGAAAGAAGACGAAATTGTTGGCACTAGCCAGCTTGAACAACAAATAATCATCAGATTCTATATCATTAGCCTGAACAAATTCCTCCCATCCATGAGTGAAGCATACATTTCCCCCACCGCTTCCACCGTCAGGTCCCAGCAACGCCCGCAATTAAGGACGTCACTATGGACTTTAACAGAAATGGGCAGCCGCACCGCCGCAAACAGTGGATCATTGGCAGGGGGAATCACCTATTAATGTCAAGCATCATCAAAATGAATTACTTCAAAATAACAAAAAGCACAAAAAATCCAAAAAAAAAGGACAGCATAATTAAATTAGCATCTCGGAATGATTACCAGGGAATGTTCATTTGAGGAACGAATATGACAGATAAATGTCAGAAACGTTGTGATGTTGTTTGCCATTTTTTGATTTTGGATTGATTTCGCTGTTGCTAGGGAGGGTTTACTTTGCGATTTACTTGATATGTGGAAGTATCTAGGGTTAATGTCAGTTCTTATATAATCGACAGCAAACACAACCTTCTTTGACCTACACGGCCCGTACCCGGGCTTCAATTTATTTGGGCTTTTTAAATTAATATGTAATATAATATTTGTGTTGGAAAAAAAAACTAACCTAGCAACAAGTCATAACTAAGCTAGCAACAGCGGACAACTAAACTAGCACCCACTAACAACTAACTTAGCAACTAAATAAAACTATGCATAACTAACCTAGCAAAAAAAGACTACTAACAAAGCGACTAGACATAACTAACCTAGCAACAACTTTAAACTAACCAAGCAAGTAGACATAAATAACATTGCAACAACTGAAAACTATAAAACTAACCTTGCAATATAGGACAATTATCCTAACAGACAGCTAACGTAGCACTACCATGAAACTAACATTGCAACATGATAAAACTAACCTTGCAGTATTATATAACTAACCTTGCAGGGATATAAAACTAAGATTGCAAATGTATACAACTAGCATTGCAGATATATATATATATACACACTATCATTGCAACAGAATAAAACTTACTTTGCAGAGATACACAACTAACATTGCAAGATGAAAAAAAAACCTAACAATAGAAAACTATCCTATCAAACTCTTTTACAAAATTTGATAAATGTTGGCAGACATATAACTAACCTAGCAGTATAAGACAGCTAACCTAGCAAAAACAGAGAACTAACCCAGCACTAACAAACAACTAACCTAGCAACAGTATACAGCTAACATTGCAATATGATTCAGTTTCTTTGAGCTTCTGAGTTTTTTCTCACAGAGCACACACTTTAGACACGTGGGCTTCCTCATTCCTTGTCTGATCCTCTGGTTCACCTGGACAGAAAGGAATAGTGCGAAGNATAGGGATATTACTTTTATGTTTTCTCACATTGTTTTGCAGGTAGAGAGACACATTTCACTCCTCATCGCATTGGACAGGCTCACGTCCCGAGACTGGACAGGCTGCACGCCACCACATCGCTACACGGTGGCGCATTCACCGCCTGTCCAGCACCTTCGCCCCAGAGCCGTTGTTTGGCTTCGACCTGACTCTCCATGGGTCAAGCTGAACACTGATGGCTCATTTGATCGCCACACTGGAGTTGCCGGAGGAGGAGGCCTGATCCGGGATCATAGCGGCGCTCTCATCACCGCCTTCCACGCGTCCCTTCAGGCCTCTTCGAGCTATGATGCAGAGATTCAGGCTTTACAGATCGGACTCCAGATCGCTGTCAACCTCTCTAGCCACATTTGGATTGAGCTAGACGCTGCGGCTGTTGCCACTCTTTTGACCTCGGGCCACCAGGGATCGTGGCAGATCCAGCACCCGATTATGCGCATTAGAGCGCTACTCCGGTCGGTCCGTCACAGGATTACGCATATTTTCCGTGAGGGGAACAGACCCGCAGACTACCTTGCCAGCCTTGGCGCCACCATATCAGATACACACATATTCCAGACAGACACTGCTCCACTCCGCCTTCGCACTCTAGTACGGATGGACCAGCTCGGATATCCTACTTTTCGCTTTCACTAGTTATAGGATTTTTGTTTTCATTAGACTATTCTTTTATCTCGGGCATCTGTTAGCCCGAAGATCGACCTTGTATTGTAGTTTCTGTTTTCTTTCTTTTTCTGTTCTTTTATCGGTTCTTTCTCCTTTTTTTGATTGCGACTTGTGAGACAGTGCAGATTATTGTATTTTGATCGTTGACATTCTGGACCCCGATTTTGGGGCCTGATCTATTCACAGGTTGGGGATCTAGCCCAATCCCCCGCCCTTCAGGGGTGATGTTTGTTTTAAAAAAAAAAAAACATTGCAATATGATAAAACTAACCTTGCACAAATATATAACTAACCTAGCAGCATCAGAAAAATAACAAAACAACACAGACAACTAACAACACATATATACAACTAAATTGCTGAGTTATACAACTATCATTGCAACATGACAAAACTAACTTAGCAGCAAAAATATAACTAACCTAGCAAGACCTAATAACTAAACTTGCAATAAGCAATAAATTAACCTAGCAATAGACAGACAACTAACCTTGCAACAAGGGAATTGTAACCTTGCAACTTCAGAAAACTAACCTTGCGATAGCATAAAACTAACATTGCATGGAGAATCATATTCATCCATAAACAAAAAAATAAATCTTAATTTAAAAAAAATCGTATTTACATCAAAAGTGTTACATCAACAGTGTACCATCAAATCCAACTACATATATACAAAATCAGTTTTCTTGGAAATGGACAACCTTTAACCTCTTATTTGCAGGATTTTTCTCGGCGTGAAATGCATTTATCTTCTTCTCATTTTCTGTTTTCACCTCGTTGAAGTCATTTAAGAGAATTTCTGAGCAGTACTTAATGCGCATTTCTCTCAATTGCTCCGTTTTGTCCTTTATAAGGCCACTATTCCAGTTATTTGAACCACTTCCGTAATAAGTTTCTATATGCCGCATAACAAATATGCCACAGTCAACTTTGTTTTTGGCATCTCTCCAAGAAAAAGCGATTCTGGATATTTTCATTGCTTTGACCTTGTCTGACAAACGTGCGAGGTTTCTGGATGTCAAATATCCAACAAGAAAATCTCTCTGAAAAAAAGAAAAAAAAACAATTATTAAAAATGTGTTAACAGTGCATGATATAATATGTTGAACTGTATATGCAATGTTATAAAATTAATTTAAAAAGATTAGAAATTATTACCAAATGCACATGTTGAGACTGGTATTTTGAAAGCTTGGTTCCACCAACAGAGGAATTGTCCAAAATATCGATAGCATCTTCCTTAAAATCAAAAGAGACTACATACAAGTGCTCGCTCTTGCACACAGGGAACATAATCTGATAAAACAAACAAAAATTATATAATATTAGCATGTAATTAAATAATTAAACTCATCAACACCAATCTAAAAAGAAAATTACCATATCAATATCTTCAAGTTTATCTTCACATCCTGCTTTTCTTAAATCATCAGCCATACCATCACAGAATAAACGAGCTTTCTTTTCATAATCCCAATTCTCATTGGGCATTGGAACGCTGTGCATCTGGAAACAAATGAAAAAAATAATAAAGAACTAACCAGAAACTATAAACAACTAACATAGCAACTAGATATTACTAACACAGCAATTAGAACAACTAACCTAGCACCATCAACCAACTAAACTAGCAGAAACAGACAACTAACCTAGAAACTTCTAAAATGATCCATCAGACAACTAACCTAGCAAAACCAGACAACTAACCTAGCATAATCAGAAAACTAACCTTGCAACTACTAACCTAGCACCATCAGACAACTAACCTAGCACAATCATACAACTAACCTAACACCATCAAAAAACTAACCTAGCAGCATTATATAACTAACTTAGCAGCAACATATAACTAACCTAGCAACTAGTAACCTGGAACCATCAGAGAAGTAACCTAGTAGCAGCACACAACTAACCTAGCAGTAGGATACAACTAACCTAGCAAGAATATATAACTAACGTAGCAGCAATATACAACTAACATAGCAACTAGTAACCTAGCACCATCATAGCAACTAGTAACCTAACACCATCTAACCTAGGAACTTCAGATAATTAACCTAGCAACAAGAAACAAGTAACCTAGCAGGAAGAGATAATTAATCTAGCAACAAAACACAACTAACCTAGCAACAACACACAACTAACTTAGCTATAGAGATATCAATAACCTAGAATCTAGACCCAACCTAGCAATAATAGAAAACTAACCTAGCAACTACAAAACAACTAACTAACATAGAAAATAACAAAATAAAAAATTATTCAACTGAATAAGAAAACTTACACTAGAATACGAGGAACCAAAAAATCTGAATGGCATATCTGGTTTTTTATTGAGTTCTCTCAAATTCAATATCCTGCACCAGGTATCCAGAACACACACTTCGACATAGTGATCTTGTCTTAAAGACTTAATATTTTCTTTCATTAAAATCAGATCACCATTCTTGAAAATTGTCTCAAACCTGAAAAAACAAAAATAACACTAAATTATAAATTGTAAATAATAACTCAAACTAAATGAAAAAAAAAATAATTTTAAATATGAAAATTTACGCTGTTTCTTCATCATCATCCAATATCCAATCATAAATTTCTCGGTCCCTTGAACTTGCTTTTGAAATATTGAGTTGTTTGAGTTCAAGGTTCTCCTTCTTTGTTACTTTCCTTTTCTTTTGAGCTTTCAGCTCTTCCTCTATCTTCTCTTTCTGCTCCTTCCCTTTCTTCTCCCTCTCCCTTTCCTCTCTTTCTTTCTTTTCCATCTCCTTCTTCTCTTTTTCCTCTCTTTGATTCTTCTCCTTCTCTTTCTTTTCCTTCTCTTTCCTCTCTTTCTCCTTCTGCTCTCTCTCTTTCTGCTCCCTCTCCTTCTCTTTCTCCTCCTTCTCTTTCTTCTCTTTCTCTTCCTTCTCTCTCTCCTTCTTCTCCATCTCATTCTTCTCTTTCTCCTATCTTTCTTTCTTCTCCTTCTCCTTCTTCTCCCTCTCTTTCTCCTCTTTCTCCTTCTGCTTCTCTTTCTCCTCTTGCTGCAATCTCTCTCTCTCCTCTCTTTCTTTCTTCTCCTTCTCATTCTTCTCCATCTCTCTATCCTCTCGTTCTTTCTTCTCTTTCTCCTTCTGCTTCTCTTTCTCCTCTAGCTGCAACCTCTCTTTCTTTTTTTTTCTCATTTTCTATTCTCACTCTCTCTTCTTCCAACATCTTCTCTCTATCAATTTTCTCTCTCTCTTTCTCTTTCTCAAGTTTCTCCCTCTCTTTCTCTTCCTTCTCTTTCTCTTCTCTTTGTCTATCAATTTTCTCCTGCATCTCCATCTTCACTTTTTCTCTCCCACTGCTCTCTGACGGTTTCTTCATTGCAGTTTGAATCTTTTTCACTTTCTCAAACACAACTGCAAGAGGAGCATCCTTAAGAATTTCTGCAGGGGTTTGGGGTTGAGGGATATCAACAATATCCAGATTCATCTTCGTCCTTTTCTCCTCCTTCTTTCTCTTTCTGTCCTCTTTCTTCTTCCTTTTTATCTCTCTCTCCTTCTCCTTCTCCTCTCTCTCTCTTTGTCTTCTCTTTCTTTAATTTGTCTCTGCACCTCTTGATCTACTAGCATCTTAAATGCAGCATCTTGAGAAACTGGAACTGGTTCTTCAATTGGGGCTTGGAAAAATTGCCTTGAAATTTTTATAACATCGTCCCAACCTCTGTCATTCCCTTGGGACTGGGACGACAACCCCAATCCCAATGAAAAACTAGGACCTTCATCATGATGCTTCTTCTTGTATGCAGCCCTCTTCCCAATTGCAACCTCAACCTTCTCAACAAATGCAACTATTTCTGCATCATTCCAGAAAGCATCTGCTTCTTCACTAAATGAATCATTCCTCTGAGAAGATTGTGGTATATTGGGACTGAAAGTGATCAGATTTTCAGTTGCTTCTTGAATCTTCTTAAAATTTAAATCTTCTGACACTTCAGCGGGTGCATCTTCAAGCAAGGTTATTACATCAACCACATCAAAAGCCAAGCACATAACCTTGCTAACCAGCTTGGATTTATAACCCTGCTTATACATAAAATTAAAAACAGTGAACAATTATTATAAGAAAGAATGGAGGAAAAATATAACTATCCTAGCAGCTACATATAACTATCCTAGCAACAACATACAACTAACCTAGCACCAACAGAAAACTAAGCTAGCAGTAGCATAGAACTAACCTAGCACCAACAGACAACTAACCTAGCACCAACAGACAGCTAAAATTGCAACAGACAAGACAAACCTTGCAACACCAGACAACTAACCTAGCACAAACAGACAGCCAAACTAGCAACAACATACAACTAACCTAGCACCAACAGAAAACTAAGCTAGCAGTAGCATAGAACTAACCTAGCACCAACAGACAACTAACCTAGCACCAACAGACAGCTAAAATGCAGGGACATAAAACTAACCTAGCACCAAAAGACAGCTATCATTGCAACATGACAAACTAACCATGCAGACACATAAAACTATCTTAGTAACAAAATACAACTACAATTGCAACATGATAAAACTAACCTAGCAAAAAGCATACAGCCAAACTAGCACCAACATACAACTAACCTAGCACCAACAGAAAACTAACCTAGCAACAACAGAAAACCAACCTAGCACCAACAGACAACTAAAATGGCAACAGACAAGACAAACCTTGCAGGGACATAAAACTAACCTAGCACCAACAAACAGCTATCATTGCAACATGACAAACTAACCTTGCAGAGACATAAAACTAACCTAGCAACAAAATACAACTACAATTGCAACATGATAAAACTAACCTAGCAAAAAGCATACAGCTAACCTATCACCAACAGACAACTAACATTGCAGCATGATAAAAATAACCTTGCAGAGTTATATAACCAACCTAGCAACAATAAAGAAGTAACCTAGCAGCATCACACAACTTAATCAGCAATAAGATAAAATACAAACCTGAACAAAATCAGCATCAGATAATTTCTTTTGTTTCAACTTTAGTGACTCCAATAATGGTTGTTGTTGTTGTTGTAATGCCAAGAGTTCCATGCGATCATCGACAAAACCTCGGCCAAAACCACCCTTTTTCGTCTCAGCAATGGACCTCTTGCGCAACAACTCACAGTTCCAACCAATAAAGGAGGGCAGACTTCTTGGAACCTCACGGGATATAAAAACTAGCCGATCAATGTATAAAATCTGCATTATGAAAATATATATATATATATATATTCAAAAAACAGGGAATATAAATTGTTTAAGTGTAATATCCCGAGATATTATTAGTATAAATTACGTTTAATTTCGATATAGTAACGTTATCGTTTACTATTTTCGGAATTAAATTAAGTTCAGTCGGATTACCGAAATCTATTTTCGGCGTACCGTTTACGTCCGAAATAATTTTGGTAATTAAGTAGTATGTTTAATTTAACAATTAAACATCAAATGAGTGATTAATTACATTTAATCACCTTAATTAGCCTAGAAGCCCTAAAATGCCGTGAGAGATTAAGTGTTTGGCCTATTGTCATGTTATAGTAATTTTCCCAAATTTCTTAAGTGAAAACCGAAACTTTCTTAGGCCAAAAGAAAGGTTTTTAGCCAATTAAAAGAGACAACTTGTCATGAGATAAAGTAGCTTAGTCATCAAAGCCTAACCAAGAGTTAAACAAGTGGAGAAAGCTTGAGAAGGCCACGCATGGCCTTGTCATCACCTCACATGCACGGCTTGGTATATAAGCATGCACTTGGACGAATTTTTCCACAATTTTTCCCTTATAAGCTCAGCATCTCTTCTTTATACCTTCAGCAACCAGATCACTCATAAATTCTTCCAAAAATTTAAGCAATCACTCGGCCAAATCAAACCAATCGCACGGCATCGGCTAGTACCGCACGGCGAGGAGAAGCGGCGATTTAAATTTGATTTCCGTCGAACGTTTCGAAAGGTAGTACTCTGTTCAGATTATAATCTTAGTAATGGGTTCAGTTTAGAGTGAATTACTTAGACTTTATTCGAAAATTTCACCTTAAAACCGCAAACAAGATCAAGTATGTTTAAGTCCGGTTAGGCCCGAGTTAAGTCCGTATTTTTCCGGCAAGTCATGAACAGTTTAGTTCTTTTCAGCTTCTATTTAAAGTATTCTGTGAAGTTAAGTGTACTCGGTCGAAGGAAAAAGGATGATTGCCGGTGAATTGGCCAAAACCGTAGCATGTGCCAATCGCACGCGGCTACGGACGGCCATGAGGCATGAGTTTGTTTTACAGCGCATGAGTCGTGACCTGTTATGTTTAGTTGGACTTAATTTAGTTGATCATGTTCATTTATTCGAGAGTTGTCGGGTAATAAGTGAAGTTTTGCCGAGGAAAGGCCCCGCCGGCACCCCGCGCGTATCGCGCGTAGCCTCGGGTAGCCGTGGGCCGAGGCATGCGGTTTCAGTTTTGATCATTTTTCTCGTGTGATTAAGCTTTAATTTAATTCAGTATATTTAACATGTGATCAGGCTCTGAAGTTGTCGAGTAGAATCACTCTTTGGCCGAGAACATGACCAAGGCCGTAGGCATCGCGTGTTGCGAGCGTGCCACGGCCAAGGGTCCAGTTTATTGAGTTAAGTCGGCCACTTCATGTTAAGTTCAGTAAAATAATCATTTTAAGTCCTAACATGTTAAAATAAA